CCATTGGGGGCACCACAATCACAAAACGTGTGTATAATTACCATACATTTTCAAAGATGACCATATAAAAGATAAAAGATAAAACATATATGGTGAAGTATTTAATGGCACAGTCTAGAATATAAAAACAAATAGGTACACTCACAAAGATGATGGCACAAAGAGACTTATATCTAATTGTGCTAAAGTGCTCGTCAACCCCCAGCTGGGTTAAGTCCCCTGTAGGTACAGGTCTAATATCGATGCCTTCAGATGGTGAATATTCTCCTTCCAAATCTTTTTAGGGAGATGAACCAGCATAAATGGTGAAATGTAGAATCTCTGCGGGGATAATGGCAAGCTTCTCCGCTCAACACGTTTCGTCCCGAGGACTTTCTCAAGAGCTGTAAGTCTGTTCTTTCTTCCCAAGGACTTTCTCAAGAGCTGTTCCGGCTTTTTAAATTATCAGATTCACGCAACTTTTTCTGTGTGCGAATGTGCAGGATCAGGTGGTCTTATATTGACTAGTGTCCTCTGGCATAGAACACCAATGAAGTTATTTGCGTTTCAGGCTGGATGTGTGCGCATGCGCAGTGACGTGCATCGCTACATCTACAGCAATGCGCATGCGCACATAGAAAAAGCCGCGCAAATCTGATAATTTAAAAAGCCGGAACAGCTGAGGACTTACAGCTCTTGAGAAAGTCCTCGGGACGAAACGCGTTGAGCAGAGAAGCTTGCCAGTTTTTCCCCAGAGATTCTACATTTCACCATTTATCCTTGCCTGGCTCATCTCCCTATACAGATTTGGAAGGAGAATATTCACCATCTGAAAGCATCGATATTGGACCTGTACCTAAAGGGGACTTAACCCAGCTGGGGGTTGACAAGCACTTTAGCACAATTAGATATAAGTCTCTTTGTGCCATCATCTTTGTGAGTGTACCTATTTGTTTTTATCTTCTAGACTGTGCCATTAAATACTTCACCATATATGTTTTCTCTTTTATCTTTTTATATGGTCATCTTTGAAAACGTATGGTAATTATACACACGTTTTGTGATTGTGGCGCCCCCATTGGTATATATTCTTGAACTATACTTTTGTGTATTTGTATAACTTTTGGGAATTGGGAGTGATCCCTCATCTGGAGTGGCTAGCCTGCACTGTTTATGCACTTTATCCCACACATCGTTTTTTCATAAATATAACAGTGATCACATTTACAGAACTTACTGAAACTCACTTGATACCCTAACCTAATTATCATACTATTTATACCAATGAAAAAAAGCTTTTAGAATAAAAAACACTTAATGACTAAAAAAAAATTGTTGCAAAAACAAAATAAGCTCTGACAGAATACCCTAGGCCACGAGTGCCTACAACAAAGGTAGACCCCCGTATGTTTTAAAACTACATCTCTCATTATGCCTTGTCATTCTAAAGGAATTCTCAAAGTATGCAAAGCATCTTGTAGTTCTACAACATCTGGGGGTCTACCTTGTGGGCAACTGTGCCATAGGCAAACCAATCTTCACTGCATTACTCTCCAAAAACTGCTTTGATGTCCTTTGCTGGGGTGAATACGAGGGAATGGTCACATTTTCTCTTTAATTTGTGATCTACTTATTGTGCCAAGATATCATGCTTAAAACTTAACCTCCTGTGAATATGGAGATTTTGAATCATCATTTTTTTTATTTACTTCTTTTTGCTTGCACTATGCCAGTAGCTAGTAACTTTGCTCAATGTGAGCTAAAAGCAGACTGTACTTTCTCCCTGCTGTTTATACCAACGTCCTTCCTTTACACAAAGGTTAGAGGATGTATTGAGCAGCAGAGGGTAGCCGACATAGATGTATAGGTATTGCATGGTTGTGAAAGGCACGGGGGGCTTTGGGATTAGACATGATAAATCTAAGTACGGAGGACAAAAAGGTCTCAGGTGGAAAGACAGCATGGGGATAGGTAGACTCTGCTGGGATATTGCATCTGCAGGTAACTCTGTGATTCTCGTCTTTTCTCTGGGATGTTCTGTGAATCTCTGACCTTGGGAAAGCCAATGTCACCTTCCTGAGAATAGGATGTTACGTGAGCTGTGTGACAATCTTAGAGGCACATCACAAGAGACACATTAAATAAGTGGAATTTAACCCCTTGGAGAAAAGAATTCACGCAACTATAAAAGGAATAATCCGTTTTTCTTCATGTGCAAACTTGCCAGCTAATTACTCACGTTTGATGATGTCATTCATTTGTGAAGGTGAAATTCTCCTATCTTAAGGAATACTTCAAAATACCTAGACATTGGCAAGGAATTTATAATGCAGAAATTAGAGAACAGAAATGCTGATGTTAAAAAATATATACATCTGCATACCACTATTATTATCAGAATTATTATCATTATTATTACCATTTTATAGTGACAAGATATTCCACAGCACTTTATAATTACACATCAGAGATATATAACAGCAAGTAAGTGACAGACAAACGGAACTAAAGTAAAAAGGCCTGTGCGGCAAGAACAAAGCGAGTTACTTATTTTGTATATTAAGCTCACTCATGTATGTGGATGGTCCCACTTACGCAGTACCAGCAGTACATACGATTTTGACAGATGGAGTTGTGAGCGGTGACATATCCCTTAAATTCCCATCAGTACTACCTGCAAAGAATGCTGGAGCAATCTAACAGAATATGCCTAGGAGACATGCATTGTTATTTACTAAAGAGAGATTGCAAAGTGAATGTCTAAGAATTATATCATGCCCTCACCCGTACCTCCTAAAGCAGGAAGACCAAATACACAATGGCATAATTGGCTTCGCCCACAGTGGGCAAACCTTCCCAGAAAAGGGGCCTGCCACTTGAATTTCTGGCAGGTCAGCCTGGTGTAAAAGTGTACCAGGCTGCCTGTCAATTTTATGAGGCCAACCCATTTAGGAAAGACCCTGCAGAAACACTGTTTAAGGGTCCTAATGCCCTGAACATAAGGCAAGCACATCTAATGATGCACTTGAACTATGCTTGTTGGGGCTGTCCCTGGTGTCTTTAAAAGCAAAACAGGACCCAAAAATTGTTTGCTGAAATTGGGATGGCTGGGAGATCTGCCTTCACACCATACATACAGTGGCGGATCCAGGAGGCGGGGGGCAATGGGGCTATTGTCCCCCCCGAGATTCTCCCCTGCCGGCTAATGGAGGGCTGGCATTGTCTAAGTTCCAGCCCTGCAATGTGCCTGCGGACTGGGGAGGGAGATCAGAAATTTCCCTCCCCGGTCCGCAGGCACCATGCTGACAGCTTGCAGGGGAGGGAGAGAGGACCCGGGAGCTCAGCCTGCAGCTCCTTCGGGTCCTACTCGACAACGCGCCAAATCTCGTGAGAGTGAACTCTAGCCCTGGAACGCAGGCTAGAGTTCACTCCTACCCTGGAACCACCAGGGATTCCCCACCGGACCACCAGGGATCCAGAAATGTCCCTCCTCCTCCTCAATAAAGGTAAGAAGGGAGGGGGGACATAAAGTAAATTTATTTTATTAAATAAAAAAAAATATTAAAAAGCCTCCCTACCCCCATACAAACACTGCCCCCATACACACACTACAAACACTGCCCCACAAACACTGCCCCCCATACACACACTACACACACTGCCCCACAAACACTGCCTCCACACAGTGGCAAATCCAGAGCCTGATCTCGGGAGGGGCACTTTAGATTATTTAAATAAATGATCCAGGCACAATAACCACTACAGCTCAGTGTAGTAGTTATGGTGCTAGTAGTGCCAGGATCCCACCCCAGAGTAAGTAGTCATACCGTTTAAGAACAGTTTGACAACTTACCTGGGGTCTGCTGGGATATAGGGCATAGGAGCAGTGGTGTGTTTTAGGGGTGAAGTGTGTGAGCGGTGAAGTGTGTGTGTGAGTGCGGCAGTGTATGTCAGGGTTATGGGGGGCAGTGTTTGTCGGGCAGTGTGTGTGTGTGAGGGTGGCAGTGTGTGTATGGGGGCACTGTATGTGTTTTTGGGGCAGTGTGTGTATGGGGGTCACTGTATGTCTGTGTGGGGCAGTGTGTGTATGGGGAGCACTGTATGTATGGGGGCACTGTATGTATGTGTGGGGTGTGCAGTGTGTGTATGGGGGGCACTCTGTGTATGGGGGGTCGTGTGTGTGGGGCAATGTGTGTATGGGGGGGCAGCAGTGTGTGTAGGGCACTGTATGTGTCTGTGTGTGTATGGGTGTGCAGTGTGTGTATGGGGGGCAGTGTGTGTATGGGGACAGTGTTTGTGGGGCAGTGTGCATGGGGCAGCGTGTGTATGGGGACAGTGTTTGTGGGGCAGTGTGTGTATGGGGACAGTGTTTGTGGGGCAGTGTGTGTAGTGTGTGTATGGGGGCAGTGTGTGTATGGGGGGCAGTGTGTGTATGGGGACAGTGTTTGTGGGGCAGTGTGTATGGGGGCAGTGTCCCACAGAGACATACAGTGCCCCCCATACACACACTGACCCAAAAACACATACAGTGCCCCCATACACACACTGCCACCCTCACACACACACACACACACACACTGCCCCACACATACACTGCCCCCTAACACACACACTGCAACCCTGACATACACTGCCGCACTCACACACACTTCACCGCTCACACTTCACCCCTAACACACACCACTGCTCCTAAGCCCTATATCCCAGCAGACCCCAGGTAAGTTGTCATACTGTTCTTAAATGGTATGACTACTTACTCTGGGGTGGGATCCTGGCACTACTGGCACCATAACTACTACACTGAGCTGTAGTGGTTATT